TGATTCCAAATTCAAATATCTTTTTTAGATAGGATATTTTAAATATCGTAATATTCAACCTGTTTTGATAATGCAATGATTACTCGTAAGTTGAAATTAAATAAATCAGTACCGAGCGTAGATAGATCAATGACCTTCTTCCTGCATTTAAACGTGCTTGAGATTGACTTGTCAACTTGTCTCGATTTATACCAGATGTACTATGAAAACTTACACATGGACACATGGTGCCTTTATATAGACCAAAGGATTAATGACTGTCTGGCAAAGTAATCTATTTACAATGTATATGTATATATCGTACATGGAATAAACCATACAACGATTATTTTATATCTTTCTTTCTCTTAAATTGTATAATATCCAAACTTACATTTTTGCAATTGTAGTGATTCTTCTTCGCTATCTTCGTCAGCCATAGCATCAACTTTACTTTTCTCCTTCCATTGCGTGTAACGATTTGTTTTGTATGTAGCAGGAATCCATGCTCCAGATTCGGTACGTATTTTACCAGCTTTTGGATCCTAAAAGGAAAAAAAGAGAAATATAAAATAATCAAACTTAACATTACTATTAATAAGTAATAAGTTAAAATTGATTCATACATTGTTAATCGTAATCATTTTTTTCTTTTTACGATCCCATTTCTTAAGTTGTGTTTGTAGTCGTAAAGATTCTTCATTGTCTGCTGTTAAATCTAATTGTACCTTTTCTGCTTCTGTCATGAAATTATTTACCGCCAATCTGTAAAAAAATTCAAGAATTACAATTAATATATACACAATAAAAAAATATATATATTTTTTAAAACATACCCATCTTCAGTATGTTTATCTGGAGCAGAATACGGAATATAAAATTCTTCATCCTTAGTAGCCAAACGTTTCTTTTTCTTAGTATTTTTATACAAATCTTCTATATTTCGTTTTTTCGGCATTATCACTTTATTAAATGCTTCATTAATTTCATTCTCACTACTTTTTGGTAATGTAGTTGTTTGAAACATATCTGCAAATGGTATGTAAAGTAACACTACAACACTTTGTAAAAGATATATTCAGATAAAATATAAGTTTACTTTTTGCTGCTTCTTCCTTCTTTGCTTCTAATGTTTCCATTTTTTTATGAAAATTCAAAATATTATCTTTATGAAATGCTCGTTTTTCTTTCATCACTTTATAATCTAATGAACCTGTTTTTTTGCCGATTTCAAAAATTGTCTGTTACAAAAAAATATAAAAATAAGAAATACATTTATAATAAAAAAAAAATTAATAGAACCCACATTTTCTATAACATACATACTCCTTGAGGTCTGTATTGTTTCATTTTAGTTAATATATCCATTGTGGCAGGATTAATATTAGAATATTCAGGTATTATACCTGCTGAATTAATATTCAATTCTTTCATTCGTTTAACGCTTTCCGATGATGCTGCTGGCCGAGATTTAATATAACGTTCATAAGCATTGTCACAAACTTTTTCCATATTTTTCTACACACAAAGACATAATTATCTCACATTATTACCATCTATTTTAGAATTTATTTTGTTTTTAGACTTACTAGATCAGTAGATGAATCATGCCAATTTATTAATTCTGCAAGTTCTTCTTCTATCATAGCTTGAGGCATTTTTCCTATTATATACTCCATATCATTGCTTGTACTAGATAGAGGAACTATATTTAATGAACGACCAAGAAATAGATGTAGATCTAGAAGATATGGATACTCATCAGGAGTTATAATATTATAAGCAGTTCCAATTCGACCAGCACGTGCACAACGACCTGTGTAAGAAAATCCATAATTGCAAATAAACGAACATAACTGATTGATTCAAAATCTATAAGATCTATTTGACATATACGTACCTACTCTGTGCACGAACAATTTACATTTTGCTGGGAAATTGAAATTAATAACATTATCTAAATGAGGTATATCTATACCACGAGCAGCAACATCAGTAACAATTAAAGTCTTTACTTTGCTCATTTGAAATTTCGCAGCATTTATTTTACGTGCGGATGGATCCAAATTTGAATAAATAAATGTATTTGAAATTCCTGCTTTGTCTAGTATCTGTTAATAAATTTTATATATTTGTATTTATTTTTCATGTGTATTTACTTCATTTCATAATAATGAAATGAAGATATAATAAATATTATAAATTTACCTGATGGAGGTATTCTACATGATGCATAGTTGCAGCAAATATTACAGTTTGCGAATCATTTGCAATGATATTTTTTAATAAAGCTAGAAGCACAGCCAATTTCTCTTCAGGACGGCAAATAATAAATGATAAACTCAATTCTTCTGGCAATTTGCTCTCAACATCTAATCGTATTAAAACAGGATCACTTAAACCTGCTTTAGTAAACTCTACTAAAATCTTAGGTAATGTGGCAGAGAATAGTAAAGTTTGTCTTGTCTCTGGTAATCTATTAACTATTTCATGAATTTGTTCACCAAAACCCATTTCAAATAATCTGTAATTTTATATTATCTTATAATTTTATTTTATAATATTACTATTAGCGCATTAATAGCTATATGCACATATAACCATATTTTTCATAAGATCTCACCTGTCAGCCTCATCAAACACAACATACTCTATAGTATTTAAACGTAAATCCATTTCAACACATATATGAAGAAATCTGCCTGGTGTGGCAACAATAATATCAGGATTTCCATGAATAATACTGAATTGATTATCCATACTATCTCCACCCAATATCACTGCAGCTTTTAATCCTGTAAATTTTCCTAACTCTTTTATAAATTTCAATGTTTGCATTGCCAGTTCACGCGTAGGTGAAAGAATTAAAGCACGTGCACCAGCTTTAGCTTGTCTTGTCTTGAGTTTTTCAAACAATGGGATTAAAAAACAAGCTGTCTTTCCACTACCTGTCCTGGCCATAGCTACAATATCTCTTCCTTCAAGAGCTAAAGGAATTGTCTATCGAAGAAATCTTTATATTTAATACTTTTTATCTTTTTTAATTTTCTTATAAAGTAATATATGAATCATGCTTACCTTTCTCTGTATTGGTGTTGGAATTTTATAACCACGTTTTAATATACCTTTTATAATAGGATAGCTAAGAGCCATAGATTGAAATCCACCTGACTTTTTAGAAGCTTTTTTCTTGATGTCCAAAATGTCTTCATCTTCATTATTTTTATTAAGTTCTTCTGTCTCTCCAAAACCAATAACCTCTGTACCCTTCATTTTAAATATTTATTTAAAAAATACTTAAATCAAAATAAATAAATTAATGACATCAACGTTAAGATTTCTTTCAATCGTTAATATACAAATATGCTAATTGTGTAACATAACCTAACACAATAAAAATCATCACATTGACCACATGTGTAATAATTCTGAATGCACATGTACGATTTTTAAGAACTATGAAGTTAAATATCAGTGAGACAACATTGTAAAACTTCTTCACATACAATTATTAATACTCCAGATTAATTATCCGTTAACACTGCTTCATGTAAAAATTGAACAAAAAATATAAATTTTAATATGCTATATTATTATATACAATACAAACTTTCTAAATTTCATTATTTATGTTCAAATTATTGAATATTTATTAAGTTGGTAGGCCTGAAATTCTGTGTGAACATAGCTGCATGCTACGAAAGCTTCGGCCATTTTTGTAGGATCTTTCCTTTCGTGTAAAGTTAAAATGAAGTAAGTTGCGTTTATATGAGAATATCTAATAAGTTTAATGCAATCCTGTTAAATTTATGCAAAGTATATAGTTGGTGATAATAAGAACAATATTTTTATTAATATGTGTTATATCTTTATAGGATCGGTCTTTGCGCTTATAGCGGATATAAAATATATCCTGGCCATGGTAAAACCATGGTTAAAGTTGATGGAAAGGTATATTTAAATCTATTTTAATTTTATAAATGTTATTCAATTTCGAGTATTTTAGGATAAATTTTTTGTTTGTAATCATATAATACTAACAACTCTATAAAAAATATATTTATTATTTTTCTACATAACCTTATTTTTTTATAGACTTTTACTTTCCTCAACTCAAAATGCGAATCTGCTCACTTAATGAGGCGTAATCCTAGAAAAGTTACGTGGACTGTTTTGTATAGGTATGTTCATTTAATTTTTGAAGTTTCTTTTTTTATACCATATTCTTTTTTATTCCATATTCATTTTTTTATATTATATTTGTCATATAAATTACACAGACGAAAGCATAAAAAGGGACAAGAAGAAGAACAGGCCAAGAAAAGGACAAGGCGTACTCAAAAATTCCAACGTGCTATTGTGGGTGCTTCTCTTACAGATATCTTGGCTAAACGTAACATGAAACCAGAAATTCGTAAAGCACAGAGAGAACAAGCTATTAAGTAAGTATTATTCGATTTACCTACTTATTTATATAAGATTTGTACAATACAAAGTTAACTAGGTATTTTTAGACAACTGTTCCTCTAACAAGATCTTTATATCGTGTTAGATTTCAGAATGTCTTAGAATAAATATGGATTGCTTCACCCAGAATTGTGCATTATTATAACACTGTCTGGCTTTTGCGGGTTCATACAAAAATATAAATTATTTAATATATATGTGTATCATATTAATATACTGATATAGTATATACACTATATATATAATACATACATTGATATACTTTTAGAGCTGCTAAAGAACAGAAGAAAGCAGCAAAAGCAACAAAGAAGGCTGTTGCGCCTCCTAAAACTAAGGCTATGCCTAAACAGAAAGCTGCAAAAGTGACGCAAAAATCTGCACCTCGTGTTGGTGGAAAACGTTAATCTTTCTGTGACATACCAATAAAATAATTTTAATTAAGATTTTTAATTCTATTTTAAATAATAGTACGTCCGAACATTTTAATTTTCTTCCAATTTTATTTATGTGAAAGAAAACTTCCATGTGGAAATTATATTTCGAAAGGATATACATAGGATGATAAAAACAATAGTTTATTTAATTCCAATTAAAGTATTTTATACTCTGTACGTCGTAGAATAATTGTTGTAGTACCAACTGTAGCTTTATTTTTCTTTATTCAATTCTTTCTTCAAGATCGATAACTTCGTTAACGCCTTATCTCTCCATGCACGTCGTTCTTGTAATTTATCAAGAGGACACATCTCATTTAATTCGTTACTAATTTTATTCGCCATATCTCCAACAAATTTTGGTACCGGACCGAAAGTTACACTTACGTCATAAATTGATTTATTATATACCTCGCAATACTTTTTCATACCTGAAAGAAAAGTATACCTTAGATGTATATATTTGTTTATTTTTTTACTATATATACCTTCGGAATTAAGATGCGCGGCTTCAAAAGCACCTAGAAATGCATATCTCATTCCAAGACCTTCGCTCATTACTGCATCTATATCTTTTGCACTAAGCACACCATCAGCTACTAATCTCCATGCTTCATTTAAGATTGCATACCTATAAAACATAAGAGATTTAAATAATAATAAGTTCATTAAAAAGGTACGATTTATCATACAAAAAGCGTTAAAATTACAATGTGACCATACTGTATTCTATTCAGAGCAAATCCATCAATTTCTCTAGTGAGAACGACAGGTGATTGACCGATTTCAATCATAATGGCTTTTGTTTGATTTGGTATTTCGGAACGAGTCCATGGTGCTGGAACTATTTCAACCAGGGGTACATAATACGGTGGATTTACCTAAATTTATAAAATATTTTAATAAATATATCACAATAAAAAAATTTTTGTATAAAAGAAATATCTTACGGGATGAGATACAACTACTTGATCTCGATGTTTCAATTTTTCACTATAAAGCGAAGGACGAAATGTTGATGTGGATGACGATAAAATAACTTTATTATCGACAATCTTATCGAGATCATTGTAAACTTTCACTTTTAACTGTAAATTCTCCGGTACACATTCTTGAATAAGCTTTGCATCTTTTACAGTTTCAATTAAATTCGATGATCCTAAGGATCAAAAAATATCATATTATTTTTATATTAATCTATAACATTAAATATATATAGTCTGACACGTTTAAAGAAATTATTGCATAGTGCTTTCGCAAAGAACTAAATCAATAACCTTTCCATATGCAAGTTTCCAATAAAATACATTCTTTAAAAATTTACCAGCGTTATTTATAACTTGAATTTTTATTCTTTAACCTTTTTCCCCCCTCCCAATATAGACAGATATTTATGTGTGCCTTAATCTTTACTTATCTTATATAAGTTCTCTAACAGTTATATAACTCGATTCAACAAAGTATTGACTTTTTGATAAATGAATCAAATTTCATAAAAAATTATATGATAAAATATATCAGATAATATTTACAATCAAGAAATAAAAATTAAAGTTTGAACAAGTTTTCTCTCCTATCTCACATGTATGTTTGTACTTATGATGAATCGATTACATTTTTTTTTTTTTTTTTTTTTTTTTTTTTTCAAATTATTACAAAAGTATACCCTTAATAAGTTGAAATTGTTGAGCAGCAGAAAGAGAACCACGAAGGAGGCTATCTTTTTCCAGACGATGTAATTGCTTTTGAATGTCTTCGAGAGCATTCGTAATTTGTTCCTCGACAATATCGTAAATTGTCACTTGATATCCCACACTGGCAAATAGCATCGCCCAGCTGCGACCAATTAAACCACTGAAAATTTTATATGAATTAAAATTTTAATATTTATTTAAATAATATTACTATAAAAATAATATAAAATAATATTACTATAATATATAAGCATATATTTATATATAATATAAAAGCAAATAAGTCTATTAAAAAAAACTTGACAACATCGTATGTAATGCGATGTGATATCAGTTATAAGTTACATGTATATGTCTTATTTATTTGCAAGTGCAATTTATCTAGATAGATATTATACATATATATATATATATATATATATATATATATATATATATATATATTATGCATGTCGATGTATGTATATATATAATGAAGGATTATACTCATAAATTTTACCGTTCTATTTTATTATCTTATCTTTAAAAAATACAGCTCAATATTGTGTTTTTAGAGTTCAATTTGGAAACATTACTAGTGGATTTCTCAAAAAATTATTAATTTTGTGATATTCTTTTGTCTTCAAATAGTGAATGTCACATATAAAAAATAATACGAAGTTAAAAGAACGTGAAAGAATTTTAATAGCAATCATTAGACGCAATTAACAAGAAAAAGAAGTAAACAAGGTAACGTAATATTTTTTCTTGGAAGTCAATAAAAAGCCTAAAACTGGTTATTTTACTTTAAAATCATTGTACAAAATTTTATACGCAGATCATCTATTGAATGAACTAAACAAGTTTATCGTTTCTATTACCAAAGATCATTTAAAATATACGAAAGTTTACAAAAAAAAAGATTATATTTACTGATAGCAAATGTAAATACTTTAATAATTTACTTGTAAATACTTCAACGATTTACTTACAAATTTAAATGAAGTTTCCTTCATAAAAATTTACTTATAATTAGATTAAATTATTTAAATTTTAAGATGTATTTACCTTCCGATGATACCAATTTTTTCATTTTTGGTAGACATATTAATCCACTATGTCGGTTAAGCAGAACCTTGAATCGTATAATTAGTTGATGCTGTAATGAATTAAAACTATGTACTGTTTAATACTGCTCCTTTCCCACATATAAGACGTAGAACATTGCGATAATAATCCCCACCACGTTTACAAGATCCTTACAGTGAGTGTTACTACATCCATCGACAATATTTTTTGTTACGCCTTTTTGCAGCTCACTTTCATTCTATCGGTAATATATCGACACAACTATAAAGTTGTTGACAAACTAAAAGTACAAATTTTACAAAAATTAAAATATTTTTTAAACAAAAAAGAATAAAAATATGAATACTACTATCATTATTTGACATTTATTTACCAATATATTTTACTAAATTCGATTATTATTTTGAAATATGGTAATATATATGAAGTATTATAAGAAAAAAAAAAAACTTTAAATTTGTCTACAACGTAATTACACAACTTGCTGTAACGGATATGCTTAGATATAAATATAAACAAATATTTCTTACTTTATTAAAAATTTAAATCGTTTACGTAACAGAAAAATATTTTTATAAATGTAATATATATGAATAATAACGGTATGTTCTATTTATTTTTAACAAAGAGAAATTTATTTTTTTTAGTTTATAATCGAAAAAATAAAGAAAAGTGAATTTTATGAAACATTTAATAGGATTTAGTCTTATTAGTTTACTATTTAATTATAAAAAAAATAAAATTTGTAACTTTCATAAAATCAGGTATTGAGAATTAAGCATATTGTCATGCGCGTGAAAACCCACGTTCTACACGCAATTGATTCTTTGTGTTTGTTACTTCACGGGGAAAAACCTTAACGTTTATCAAGGTTACTTTGTCAATGCAGTTGAGTATTGAGTCACTGTGATAATATCTATTTGGTGAGTACATTGCGCGCAGTCTGAAGAGATCTTTATAAGATTGCAATCGTTTTGTTTTTACATGTTGTCTGATTGAAAATAGATTAAGGTTAAAAAGGTGGTGGTCTTTGTGGAATATATTGTACATTTCAGGATTTATTTGTTTCTTTTATTAGTGCATTTAAAAATGCCGAAAGCATATGAAAGTTTCGTAGTGATGAGAGAAGCAATCAATGGTCTGCAGGATTATGGTACTTACGGAAATGGTAATTGGATAATGATTTCTTTAAGATTTATGTTTGTTTTTTATTAGAATCCTACTAAAAATGATGGTTCTTGTTATAACAAATTATTTTTAGTAGTAAACGTATTTCTCAAAGTATAGGTGGCATTTTCAACGTTAACGAAAAAGAGTGTAGTATTTAAATGTTCTGAATAATAATTTAATATTCGTACAAAAGTATCATGCATTTATGTAAACGATTATATGATTGCAATCTGTGTTTAAATATATAATGAAAAATAATTTTTTTATATAGACTAATATATATGTAATATGTATATAATCATAAAAATATTATATTAATAATTATTAAAATCATTCATATATTAAATAACTAATAAATTGTTTTTTTTTTTTATTCAGATCCAATGTTTATTAACGATACTAGTTCATTGAGTCTCTATAATAATTCTATAGATCCACACATAAATTTCAATATTGAATCACCTATGTCTACTACTTCATCACCATCACATATGTCTACATATGTATTAGATGATTTTATTGGTACGTATATTTTCTTTTTTATTATTCTAAAATAATCGAATTACAACATATGAAAGTAAAAAAATCTTATAAAATAATTAATGAACTTGTCTTAATTGGGACTAGCTGGTGAACCACATCTTGTCATAACAGAGCAACCAATAGAGAAATTTAGGTTTCGTTATAAATCTGAAATGATCGGTACACATGGAAGTTTAGTTGCATCAAATAATATGAGTGCTCATAGAAAGACTGCTCCTACTGTTCAAGTAAGTATAACTAATTTCTTAACAAAATAATAATCGTATCATGAATATTGAAAAAAATATAAATTTTCAACATTTTGTAATTAAAATTTAAAACGTTTCTAAAATTTATTTCAGTTACGAAATTTTCATGATAAAGCAATAGTTCGCTGTACATTGGTTACATCGGATGATAAAAAAGAAAGACTTCCACATGCTCATCATTTAATCAAAAGGGAAGGACATAAAGATAAAGATGATCCCCATGAAATAGAAGTTTCTCAAGAAAATCAATTTACTGCGGCGTATGTTGATACAAAATATTTGATATTTTTAAAATAATTGATATATTTAATAATAATTATATAATTTATATATTTATAATTTATATCTTTATTATTTTATATAAGACAATATAAGATCATATTATATAGCTATATATGTTTTTCAAATTTTACTATATGTTTTCTAAATGCAATATTTTATAGATTTCATGGACTGGGTATAATACATACTGCAAAAAAGCATATTAAGGATGAACTTGTACGGAAACTTCAATTTGAGTTACTAGAAGAACGTAAAAGAAAAAATATTAATGCAACTCTTTCAATACGTGATGAAGTACAGGTATAAATGATTTCATGAAAAGATAATCTTTTGATATATTCAATAGGTAGAAATAAGAAAAAAAATGTTATCTTTTTGAAATTGATATATTCATTTATTCAATAAAACTCATCGTAAAAGTATGATTGCAAGATGTTTACACAATTCGAACTTTATATTATTCGATTGCGTTTAATTATTTCAAAAAGTAACCATAGTTAAAAAAGTAGATTCTTTGAACATTGGCTTATTATTACATTGTGAACTATCAACAATGAATACTCTATTACCTTTTGCTTTTATATTTTTGTTATAATCTTTTTATGAAGCATTTATGGGATGTGTTTATATAACATTTTTTCTTATTTCTATTCATAGAATATACTAGTGAAGTTTAATCGTTTAAACCTGAGACATCCTGTATAATATTAAAATGGATAATAAATAATAATTATCAGTAATATAAATCTTTATTTTCGCAGATTAAAGCTGATGCAGATATTAAACAAAAATCAATAAATCTTAATAGTGTATCTCTGTGCTTTCAAGCTTTTATTAAGGGTAGTAATAATATTATGAATCCACTTACAGAACCCGTTTACTCCAATCCGATTAATAATCTTAGTAAGTATTTTAATTAAATAATGTGATCTATTTTTTATATCTGTGTAACATTTTATACATGTATGATTTACTTGCATAATTTTTATTTTTTCAGAAAGTGCTCTTACTGGGGAATTGAAAATCTGCAGAATTGATAAATTTACAAGTTCTTGTGAAGGTGGAGAAGAAGTATTTATATTAGTAGAAAAAGTTGGAAAAAGTAAATAACAAATTTTTCTCCATTATCAAATAACATGGAAAATATGTTAAATTATTAAAATTTTTTATTTCAGAAAATATAAGAATAAAATTTTTTGAATTAAATGAAGATGATAATGAAATCTGGTTTGATTATGGCCGCTTTTCTGAATTAGATGTACATCATCAATATGCTATTGTATTTCGGTATGTATAAGTTTATGTATCCAAAATCAGCAATATTAATATTCATCTTTATAATATTCGATTTTATATTTAAGCACTCCACCATATAAAGATATAAATATTACCTCTTCAAAAGAAGTTTATATACAATTAGAACGACCAAGTGATCATGATTGCTCAGAACCTATTAAATTTACATATAAGCCAAGTGACAAAATATTAGGTATATACTTTTAATTTTTATTAGGTTTATACATTTTTTGAATATATAATTCTAATTTATTTTCTTTGGTTTATGTAGGTAAGAAAAGACCACGTATATCTTATTCAAATAGTATTGAATTGACACAATCGTTACCTACTATGCAAAACAATGATTCATTTACAAAATGGAATGATAGCCAAGAAATTTCAAATGAAATAAAAGATATCTTACTACAAGGTTGCTCATCTTCGGAATTACGTAATTTTGTTAACACCATAGACCTGGATAGTAAGTCACTGTCAAATACAGGTTTTAATCTTTTATGATTTATCTGTATTTAAGAAAATATTTAATACATTTAATACATTATAATTGTAGGATATATGCAACTATTAAATAATAGTGAAGAAGGAGTGCTGACATCTGATGGTCCAACTACAAAAAAAGTAGGTCTTTTTCCAATTTATTTTTCTTATATTTATTATTATAATAACAATATAAATTTTATGTAATCATCTACTATATGAATATATTTTTATTATTTTTACCAGTTGGATGACGATGTCATGTTTGCCAAGAATATTGTTTTTGAAGCCATGAATATTATCCGCATAGAAATAAATGATAAAAATGGAGAAATTAGTTCTAATAAAAAAAAACAATTAAAGAAGTTACTTATGGATAGGTCTACTTATGGTGATTCACCATTACATGTAGCTTTACGTTATGGTCAATGTGACATTGTAAAACATATTTTGATACTTATAGGAATTGATCCAGAATATCAAATAATTGTAAATATCCAAAACAGTTCAGGAAAAGTATGTTTTCTTTTATATTACATTAAAATATCTATAATTTAATATTTTATCATTTATGCTAATTACTTTTATTATATGAATTTTTTATTATTATATCACAAATTAGACACCATTACATTATGCTGTCTTACAAAATCAGCCAGTCTTTATAAAAGCATTATTAACGCTCGGAGCAGATCCAAGTATATGTGATGACCATGGTTTCTCTCCATTACATACTGCTGTAAGAAGTAAGTCCTATAAGAAATATATACACACACATACACATATAATAAAAACACACAATTATGATCATTTTGTTTTACATCAAATACATTTCTATTATTCTTTATAAAAAATGTATAAATTTATAAATTTATTGTAGTACCTAATGCTGGAGCATGTGTTGATGTTTTATTATCCAATAAACTAATTAATATTGAAAGTTACAATGATCTTGGATGGACACCTTTACAACTCGCTGCTGAAGCAGGTTCATATGATGCTGTATGCTCTCTCGTTCGAGTAGGAAGTAATGTAAATAATACGGATAAATCGTACGGCCGTACTGTATTACATATAGCAGTTGAAGGAGGTCATAAAAAAATAGTTGAATTTTTATTGAGAAATGTAAGTTTAATGTATAAAT